TAGAGGGCAGTGTCACTGGCCCTCATATGTGGGATCCGAACCGGGGCCCTCTGGCATCCCAAGCGAGTTCTTAACCATCGCGCCACTCGGCCGGCCCAAGGGCCCTGTACTCTTGACATTCACCTTCTAACATATTGTGAATCTCAAGAGCAAATCTTCACCAGTGAAAAGAGAGACCCAAGGGAAACTCTGGCTGCCCCCAGCACCTGTTCTCAGCATCCCAGAACTTCAGGATGGGGAGGTTAGTAGGATGGGCAAACCATTACCCCTGCACTTTCATTGTAGAATTTCCTCTGCCCCTCTTCCCCCAATGGACATTTGACCCAACCTAATCACCTTGTTCACTCACTCATTCAAGTTTTATTGAACACCTACTATGTGTCCAGCACTGTGCTTGGTTTGAAAATAATAAGACTGACACAGCCCTCCCAGCTTACATCTAGTATAAAAGGAGACACTCAGCACATAAACAAAAGATGAGAAAGACAACTTTACAGAGTGATAAACACTATAAAGAAAACAGCGTGATGTGATGGACAGTAAAGGCAGGAACAGGGTCGCCCAGGCAGTAACAAAGGAGCCAGCCACGCCAAGATCTTGTTAAAGAAGACACTCCAGGTAATGAGAATAGCAAATGCAAAGGCTCAGAGGTGGGAATGAACTTGGCAGTGGGAGAAAGAATTGAAGGCCAGCAAGGCTAGACTTCCAGGAGTGGAGATGCCTGCATCTGGCCTGTGAGCTATTTTAGTCACAGGAAGTTGGGTGGCAAAAGCACTGGCTTTGGAGTCAAAAGGCCTAAATTCTAATCTTACCCTGACACTGACTAACCATGTGAATTTGGACAAAACCCTGAACCTCCTTAAGTCTCAGTTTCCATATCTACACACCCAAACCTACCTCACTGGACTGTTGCTGAGTCTGTGGGGAAAGCACTTGGCTCACTGGAACAACAAAATATTGGTTCCCTTCTCACTCACCACTCCACTTCTGCTGGAATATCTCTTCCATTAAGGAAAACTCACAATTTTGCCAGAAGCCTTTGTATCTCACTGACAGCTGTGAGGTTAGGAAATTGTACTGCAACTTGTAAAGAAATGTCCTCCCTGGAACTTCCTTGGGGCCTCAAACCTCTCCCTTCCCCCTATCCTCATCCTTCTCCGACCACGGGGCACTGGGATTGGGGGCAAGAGCCTAGAACCTACAGTCAAAACAGAAGCCCAGGTTCACAGCTAAGCTAGGCCACGTCCTCAACCAGATTCCGGGAACCGTCTGGGCCGCAGCATCTTCTGTGAAAATCAGGGCACTAACACCGCCTACCTCACCGGGTCGGTGCGAGAATTAGCTGAGATCACGCACGTAAAAGCTCTGAGCAGAGTGCCTGGCCTGAACTAGGCGCTCAGTAATCGGCTGCTAGCTCTCGAGTGGACGTCGGGACCCGAGCCCCCAGACTCTAGAGCTCTGTCTGGCCGCTGGCAACGTCGCGGTTCCCGCCGTGCTAAGGTTGAAACGTTTTCCTACCTACCCTAACGAGCCACTCCTTTAGTTACTATTTAGTCTTAGGCGCTTGGTAAATCCGCGCGCTCTCTTGGGCAGTTTACGTTTCCCGCGCTCAGCGCCCCCTTGCGGCGAGCCCTGGTCATCGCCTCTTCTCAGCCCCTCGGCACAAGAATTCTAGGGAACGTGGTGCCTGGTCTGGGAACTCAAATTTAGGAGGAAAGGGACTGCAGTGGAACCTCCAGGGAAAAGAGGACTGTGAGGTGTGTAAGAAAAGTTGCTCGCGGGAAGACTTGTCTACTTCTGCCCTAGCGTCGCCCAAAATAGAGGCCTCGACCTAGGGCTGAAGAAGAGGTGGAGTTTAGATGTTGGAAGAACTTCCGCGCCTGGAGTCCAGAACGCACGGTTTCAGCGGGGGCCGCAGGGTAGCCTGGTACATTTATCCCCGAGGATCTGGGCCAGGGAGGGCGCGTTCTGCGTCAAGGTCGGGTGCGCCTTGCCTGGCTCAGGCCCCCCCCCCTCTCCCAAAAAAAGAAAAAGAAAAAGCGGAGTCAGCCCTGGCTGTAGCGGGCGCGGAACTTGTGCCTCAGCACTTTCTGTTGTAATCCCCGAGGGCTGGGGCCAGATCGGTGGCTTCGGGAAAAGCCTCGGCTCCCCAGGGGACATCAGAGTTGACTGCAGACTGCCCGCTGACTCAGCTTTCTCCACCCCAGCGAGAGAGAGGGCGAGGCCAGGTATAAAGCCCCGCTTGCCAGCTCACGCGCAGCCTCTCCAATTTCCGTCAGTATTTCCGTCAGTACCGCACTCACCCACCCGGTGAATACTCCGTGCTGAGGCAGGGTCTTTTCCGGGCGGGGGAGGGAGAATATGAGGGAGAGCCACTAGCAACTCGAGTCCAAGCCAGCCCAGGTCCAGCTCCCGGGTCTTTCACCCCCACCCGATTGGTCGGGCCTGGGCTAGGGAGAGGGCTCTCAAGACGCTGAGGACTTTGTCCCATCCTTCTTGCCGCAGCGGCATGAGCAGCGTCCTCGTGCCGGCCCGGCGCCCGCCTGTCTCACGCTCTGGGACGAGGAGGACTTCCAGGGACGTCGCTGCCGGCTGCTAAGTGACTGCGCGAACATCTGGGAGCGCGGAGGCCTGCGCAGGGTGCGCTCAGTCAAGGTGGAAAACGGCTCGTGAGTGATCATCCGGGAGCTAATGGGCCGGGTTGGAGGCTCGGGGCTCCCCTGACCCAAGTCCGAGCATGGGAACTCAGCTCTCAGCAGTCCTCTGTTACCCAGACTATAAGCCCTGACTGAGAGAGCCCCTTCAACATGGGAAACCTCTTGGCCTCCTCAAAACTCCCCACTCGCCGCAAGATAAATAATAACAAAGAGTGTAGGTATCCTTATGTGAG